GAGAGGGGGAGAGGGAGAGGGAGGGAGAGAGACAACAACAATCAATGATTCTTTCCTGCTTCGACTTAAGCATGGGGCCTCGGTTTGCGTTGGCTCCTCTGCATCTGGATCCTCACAAGTGTGGGGGCATATGAACTATGCAGATCTGCTTCGGGCAGCCACCTTCTTGATTGGACCCATCCCGAGCTTTCGTCGCAGATCCTGCCAGGATTCGATTGGTATCATTACAAAGTATGATAGTTCCACCCATGCACCCCGTAACCTTTCCTCCACACGCTTCTGCAACTCGTTCGGGTCGTCGGGCAACGCTTGCTCTTGCTTTACGAAAGCAGCAAACATGCTTTGCGCCCCGGCAGCCAACGAAGAACCCGACCAGGCTTTACTCAAAAACGTCTGGGGCTGCCTCTGCATCTTGAGCCCCTATATCAAAACCCTGCAGACCTGGATGAGATGGACAGCAGAACGGCTTCGGGCTTGCTGCTCCCTGGTATGAAATTACGCTATATAATTTACGCTTTTTTGTGCCCTTTCTACGCCTTTTCTACGCTTATTTACGTCCCCTTTGGCGTGAGATTTCCTGGAATTTACGCTCTTTTCGGCTTGGAATTTATGCCCCTTTGGGTTTCCCGGTGAAATTACGATAATTACGCTCTTTTCGGTGGCCGGTTTACGCTCTTTTTTGGGGAAATTTACGCTCTTTAGGCTTCTGGGTCTCGGGGTGCTTGGATCTTTATGGCCTTTGGGTTCCGTGGGGCCGGATTTTCGCTGAATTTATGGCCTTTTGGGCTTGTTCAGGGGCACCGACTGATGAGAAGATTTATGGCCTTTTGGGTGGTTTTACGCTTTCAGGCTGTAGAACTCTTGCGAAACCACACAAAAGCAGATTATCCTAGGATCGACCATGAAACCGCGAACCCGCCCAACGAAAAAACCCCAACGGAGGCCCCAAAAATCGGACACAGGTAGCCAGGTAGTACCCACGGACCCCAAGATTGCAGCCGAACAGCGACAATCAAGTGGCCATTTTTGGCTCCACCGTGCACATCCGTTTGCTGGCGGCACCATTATAGTTTCTTAGGCAGAACCTGTCTCCATTCCTCCGGGATCTCTAAACATCGGCATCCCCGGAGGTAGTGTACAACCGTGATCAAGTCAGCATCCTCACAAGCATCGTCGTCATCCATCGACTGAAACAGCAGCAGAGCCTCGCTAGGTTTCTTCTCCTGGAGAGGGTACTGGCTTTTACACATAACCCTCTCGCCCAGCTGCATAATCTGGAAAGCTCTTCTCGAGAATTCACGAGTATAAATCCTTGGAGATGAATGGATCGACGATACTCCCAACGAAAACTTTTCGAACGTGTTTCATCATGGAATGTGAACTATGAACAGCAGCCAAGAGTCCCGGTGTCAGTCAAGTTCCGGTTCCCCTGGAAACACTCCTTTCCCTTCTCGTTCACCCAGCGCTTCGTAGTCTTGAAGCTAGCATCCGCGGTGCCACGTTCAATCCTCTTACTTGTGAAGAACAGACTAATAATCTTCGAGTTGCTCCAGAGGCTGCAGCGCTTCGGTGTCCGAGAGCCAAAGGCAGCCATCCAGAGATCCAGACGATAAACCTCGGCCGCACAGGAGAAGGGGTTGTAATAGTATAGCAGCAGAGTGGTAGTGAAGTAGTAGTAGCAGCATATAGGTAGTGTAGTAGTAGTATTTGTATACAGCAGTATACTAGCAAGAGTAGTAGCAGTATACTAGTAGACTGTAGGTAAATCCAGCAATATCCCGTGTGCATTCTTGAATTGCAGGCAAAACTGGCCATCGTGCAAAAGTGGCTACTATTCTAGATAGAGTGTAGTTTTGAATTGCAGCCAACACGGGCAATCTTGCAAGAATGGCTACTATTGAAACTTGGACTGTGCTACTACACTACTATTTTTCAATAGTAGTAGTTCACAGTATAGTAGTAGGCAGTATAGCAGTATAGTAGTAGTCTACTAGTATAGTAGTATAGTAGTATAGTAGTATAGTAGTAGTAGTAGTAGTAGGAGGAACTATAGCAGCAGCATAGTAGTATTAGTAGTAGTAGTAGTAGCAGCAGCAGCAGCAGCAGCAGGAGTAGTAGTAGTAGTAGAAGAAGAAGTAGTACTAGTACTAGTACTAGTATTAGTAGTACTAGTACTAGTAGTAGTAGTACTAGTAGTAGTAGTAGTAGTAGTAGTGGTAGTAGTAGTAGTAGTAGTAGTATTATAGTAGTAGTAGTAGTAGTAGTAGCAGTAGCAGTAGCCTTCGCATTTGATCGTATCAGTGGCCCGCGGCTGCGGTCTCCTCTGTCTCCGGAACGCCGCCTATTGTCCGTGTCTGCCCAGGCAAGTCGTAGTCGGCATTCTTGTTCTGAGCTCTGTGCGGAAGCTATGGCAGCCCTTGCTTCTGCGGACCTGGAAGCCTGGCTGGCTAGCTATGATGCCAGGCGAGTCGAGCGCATTTCCTCGGCATGTGTTCTGTGACCGCCTTGTCCAGGCGAGCACTCGCAGATGAGCAGCCCCAGCTGCTTGAGATTCATCATCCGCAGTTCCATTCGGCCTGAAGCTTATTGGCGGGGAGCCGGGAGTAGGTGTATCCGCATCTTCGCCCGCATCCGTGTTACCCGCTCTCTTGTCAACCCCTGGCTACACAGCCCTGTGGGCCAAGGCCTTGGACGCAGAGACCGTAAATGTGACACAAACCCAAATGGTTAGTGCAGCCGAGCGCAGTGCCTGGGACAGCGTTCTCACAGCGTGGATGCCTCAACAGTTCCGTGGCTTCCTTGGTCCCGCGCGTAGCGGCGATCTTGCCTTGGAGGTGGACCGTGAGGAGCAACCAGGCTCTTTGGCAAGTGCCATGGACCTCCTTCGAGACAAGGTCGACAACTACTTCGGCTGGTCCAAGAAGTGTCTGGATAAGTCGTGGCTGGCCAAGCGTGGTGCCGCGCAGGCACTCGTCAAAAGAAATAGTAAGAGAAGCTTGACCCCTGCACAATCACCCTGTCCTCTACTCACCGAGGGGTCGGATTTCGCAGCAGTGCGTGCAAGTAGCCATGCCGCGGGTCATACAATTCACAGCTAGTCAGTACAGCCGGATATTTCGAGTGATAACCCTTCAGCGAAACATTAGTCAGAGCCCTCAGCATTCTAGCATGCGCTTGTAGCTCAGCTCCTTGAGCTTCGAGTGGCGGGAAATCAATAGTAGAGTTGCAGTCATCGTAGCAGAGGCCACCATGCTCATCCTGGACGTATGTGCGGACGATGCCAGGTCCGAGCTCCTGCAAACAAAGGTTTTCACCCTGCTGTTGGGCGAGCGATATCGCAGCCATGCTGATGTCTTGTTCAAATACACACAGGGAGCATGGCAGACCGCGGGAGGAGGCTCTATTTCTGCTCCGGACTTGGAATTTCTGATTTTGTCTTTGCGCCGTGCTCAAGCCTACTTCTGGGCCATGGGCAGGAATGAGGTATCCCGGGACTTCGACACGGTGGCATGGGAGTTGCGCGTGATGCAGAGCCTGCCATCAGATGACCCTCTCCTGGAATGGCAGTTGGGAGACGTGAGCACGATCAAGCCTGATCAGAAATCCAAACAGTGGTGGATGGGGCTGACGGATCTCTGCCGTGACCTGCGTAAAATTATGTGCGATCACTCTAAGAACGTGGTGAAGAACTTCTTGCGGTGGAGCGAGTCGGACATGAGCGGCAAACGCAGGCCCGGAGTTGCTTTCTCCGATTGCTGCCTGGCGAGATTATTGCCTCTGTTCAGTCTGTTCCAGCTTCCCTGCGCCCCGCGCTTGTAGCCAAGCGTAGCAGTCTAACTTGCTAGTGGCCGAGTGTAGCAGTCTAGCAGAGCCTCATCTTGTCCACTCCTGCAGCTACAGCAGTCTGCGTCGCGTGAAGTTTGGTGGGAATGGCTGTTGTCATCCCAACCACTGTGTTGAATTCTCGCATCTCTGGCACTACGACCCACACATGTGTCACATGTATGACGTTTCAGTCACAGTCACATGACACCGCTGTCCCCATGACTCTACCGCAACAGCATCCCCACTTGCACCCAGTACTTCCCTATCCCAGGCTTTCTGACCACCGCCGGCGGTCATGTGACACAGGCAAAGAAAGACCCCCGCCACGGCTGCTACATCTACGTTCCGGTAAGCTTGGCTTGGACTGCAACAGACCATGATCGCAGGCGTATGGCCGCCCTTCTGTTGTCCACCTTCGCTGGCACCGATGGTCTTGAAATGCTTCTTGCCCAAACGGCCCTTGCTTTATCTCGCACACGCCAGCCAGAGATATTGCATGTGCTGGTAGGGCCCGGAGCCGATGGGAAGTCAATGATTATGGTGGAACTGCTTCGAGCATGCTTTGGCAGCGGGTTTGGCAACCCATCATGCACGCTCCTGCAGGCCCAGGAAGCCCAAGTAGCGCGCTGCTTTGGTTGTACGCCTGACCCTGATTTGACAGGTGGAGCGCGAGTTCCAGCAGCAAGGCCACAACTTCTTCCAGTGCGTCATGCTGACTTTCGACGAGGTTCGCCCAGGTCAAGGTCTTCTGGAAGACGTTTTCAAGGTCTTCGTGGGCGGGGGCTACATGCCTTTGAGACGCAACCACGAGGCGGAAACACGGTATGCTTCGTGGGAGTATTGTGCGAAGGCCTGGCTCATGAACTCCGGGGACATACCCCATGTGCCGACTGCCATGGAGACCTCGCATGCGAGACGCTTTCGTTGCACCTTCCTGCGGAACACCTTGACCTACGAGTCGGGAGAGGTCTCCATAAAGGATCGGATCTTCGCGGCGGACGCGGATGCCAAGAGCTTCTGTTCATCGCCGTCAGCTGTTTGGGTCTTCTACCACGACTGGCTGTTCCCATACATGACCCGGCGTACACCGTCGCAGTGGTACGAAGCACTGGCGCATGTGGCGACAGGGAGCCAGACGGCCAAGGATAGACTCATAGATCTGGGTTGGACCTTTGCCTGGTAGACCTGTGTAGCAGTGTAGCCATGTGCTGCTACGTACTTGCAGGACACAGACTGGCTGCTGCGACGCCTGGCTCGCGTTACAGATACATCCTCCCCTGACGAGCAGCCGGAGGGTCCGAAGAACTCTTGCGGCTCTGCTGCAGCTGCTGCTGCAGAGCGGCTTGTGCGGGAGGCCCCGACGTCGTGGTTTGCATGGTACCTCAGAATACTCGGTTCCCTTGTCCGTGTGCTCAGATAGACGACAGTCTGGCTGTCATGGGTAACATAGCAACCCTGCCGAACAGCGTGGCTTTCGTAAGTTGTGCGGTAGGCCCACAGCCTCGTGACCACCGCCTTCTTTGCACCCTCGGCCATCAACAGAGTGGCTGCCGACTACAACCCCGGAGTCGGTGCGCGAAGTAAAGGCAGCACCAAGAAGTTGAGGGTGGAGTACCTTCAAGAAGCCATCCAGAAGTGGCCCCATCTGATCCGGCAATGCAGCGCTGTTGCTGGGAAACAGCTCAAGTTCCAGCGCAGGTCGGTGGACCCGGTGGCCATGGACTTGGCTCTCCAACTGGAAGACGATGGTCCCGAAGCGGTGTTTGGCACGTGGGCAGAGTGGACGTGGCCCACGGACTTGACAGGGGAGCCGATTGCAGACATATTCTACGAAGGCCGGTGTTTTCTCGCAGAGTTTTCGTTCTATGTTGTAAGTAGTCCATGTCACTGGACCTAGGTGAAGATGCCAAGGCGTGGCCTGATGCGAGGACGGACTGGCGCGTGGCTTGCCATGTCGACCTGTCTCGCCTCGAGGCTTATGCGGCCAGTAGACAGGATTGTCGCCAGGATCAGGTGGAGCAGTTCTTGCAGCACGTGCAACGGCATGGGCGGCCTGACACCTCAGGCCACGTTGCCATTGATCACGCTCCTTAGCCCCTCAAGGTAAGTTTACAAGGTTTCCCTGTGGTAAGTTTGACGAGACGCAAGTGTAATGTTGCTGCAACCTGTTGGGACCTCCCAGGTCGGGCGCAAGAAGGTCGTTGCTGGAGACCCTTTGGGGCGCCATTTCTTTCCGCATCCCACATTCCCGAATCTGTCACGCAGGGCCCGGGAAGCCGTGTGTCCGACGGGGACGGTCGAGTTCGACCAAAGCACGGCCATTGTCAGTATCATGATCAAGGCAGCGACAAGTCACGCCATCCCCACTCCCTGTCTCCGTCGTTACCAGCAGCACAAGAATGCATGGCGCTCCGCTGTTGCGACCTACTACGAGACGGATGCAGAGGTGGCAAAGACGCAGCTCATGAAGGCCGTTTTCGGCTTCCCTGTTCCCGTTGCAGGCCAAGAGTCCAAAGGAATCCTGCCGCTGCTCGAAGGCAAGCCGGGAGAGCGAAAACTTGCATCCAGGTCTATACAAGCTCACACCTTACAATACACACTCAAAGGCCGTCTGCAGCGGGCGTCGATTTCCATTCCGTGCGGTAGAAGTTATAAACTTCGTATGCAGCTGCACGATTCTGCAAGATCAGGCTTGATTACAAAGTACAGGCTGCGCAAGTGTGCAGTGGTTGCGTGGTTTGCGTGGCTTAGTCAATGCTCTGAAGCCAGGCCTTGCCTCCGAGTCCGCACTTCTCCGCGGGGCTATTTGCCAGGACATTTGTGATGGGCAGTCTTGATAGATTAAGTAGATAAATGGAACGGTAGGTATAGGCAGAACATGGTTGGTAGATATGTGTAGAGGTATAGGAGCGGTGTAGATTGTTGTGATAATTTTAATTAGAGGTGGATTGCTAGAAAATTTGTGTGTCTGTGTGTGAGCGTGTGCGTGTGCGACACTGGCATGTCAGGATTTCCCACACATCCTCGAGGCTATGGTCGAAGCAGGACGGCCACGACCAGAGACGTCCACCCTCGCCTTTTACCTTTTCGAGGAGGAGGACAAGGCGATGCGGCACTTTGTGGACCTGCTGCCCGAGCATGGCTGGCTGCTGGTCACGCCGGTTTTCGACGCCGTCCTGGCAGCTCCAGGCCCAGAGACCGTCCCCGGCACGGAAGACACGCTGATGCAGCAGTTCGAGGCAGACACCGGCCTCCTGATGCACATGTCTGTGCTGGCCACCAGCGACTCTGGCGGCGTACCAGGACCAGCGCGTGCCCTCCAGGACGAAAGCGGCGGTGGCGGCAAACTGCTCGAGGAAGCAGAGACCCAAATGCTCGATGAACCGGCTCTGGCGTCCGTTGCGAGCATCCCTGAAGCGCCAGCACCAGACCAATCACTGGATGATAGTGCGCCGAAACGTCGGCGCACAGGCAAAGCCCCTGCACAGAATGGCTCCAGCTGAAGTCTAGTATAACTCTAGTAGCCGTAGTGGAAGCCGGGAACCAGGTCGGCTGCGCCCAATGTGTCAGGCCTCCATGTGCAGCAACACGGTCTTATGTCTTGAGTGTCCGTGCCCATGTCATGCTGTCTGACACTTGTGTCAGATTCAGCTCATAATTCGTGTCCGGTAATTAGCTGCTCTTGCATGTGTAAAATTAAGTTTTAGACTTGGAAGGCACGCGCTCCTTCCAAAACACGGATCTTAGATCTTAATGCAAGGACGGCAGGCATGAGATATTCCACTTCGCAGAACAAAGTGGCGCTCAATGCTCACACTTGTGGTCGCATGCTTCACATGCTGGCGGCAATGTAAATATCTTATTACTTCCTGCCATAGCCGTGACGGATCTGCGAGGGATTTAAAATCCGTTGCCCATGGCGGCAGAGGAGGAAGTGGAGCAGCAGCTTGTTGAAGCCATCTCGCAGGAGGTGGCACTGGAGTTGTCCACGCCCTCGGGCAACTCTGCAAACAAGTTCCGCTGCTGCTTCTGTCCGTTCCGGTCTTGCGGGCGGGCGGACAGACTGGGCAAGCATATCCGCAAGTTTCACGCCAAGGAGAGGCTCTTCACTGCCAACGGTCGCACGCAGGCGCAGTGGAATCTCGTCCTGGCTATGTTCGAGCAAGAACAGGCTACTGGATGCAAAGTGTTGGAATGTATGCAGAGCACGTATAAACAACTTCGATCGGGTTTTCGGAAGAACTTGAACGACCCCTCTATAGACTCTAGACTGTAGAGAAGGCTATTAGCGTGCTAGTTGCTCCTGCCGAAGACCTGGTAGGTGCTGCGCCCACTCGGAGCTCCTGCTGTCCAAGGTAATTTCCTGCAGAGATCCGCTGCGCAGCTGCAACAATGGATTGCGCCAGATCCTTTGACTTTGGCCTACCTCTCCAAGCATAACGACATCGATGTTGTTTTGCTTCTCACTTCCCAGGGCCCCACATATGTTCTCAAGGCACAGACGGTCAATAGCCGGCGACTTCACAAAAATCTTTACTACGACCACTCCTTCGCAAGCCTGCTGCTTTCCTTGATGTTGCAGCACGCCGGCAAGTCAGAGCCGGTGTTTAATGGCGTCGTGCACCACTTCGTCCAGCAGCAGAGCCCCTGCGTTCTTTTAGGCCTTCGCAATCGCCTCACCAGGAGACGGCTCATGGAAGATGTCGCCGGTCTGCCTTGTGTCCAGAGCCTCCGGGAGGGGCTTGTGGACACGTGCACTCGGCAAGGCCGGGGAATACCGATAAGCAGCAGTGCGTCAATGACAGAAATTAGTGTCGGTTTGTGCCACTTTGTCCTCTGTATTAGCCAAGAACATATCTCTGTAGAGCTGCAGTGCATGTAGCTGTTGCGTGATGCCGTGGATCAGGTGAGTGGCACGTCGTCACTCACGATGCCACCTTCAAGTCCCTATTCTCAATTCTAGGACAGGAGAAAATGGGGCAGAAGGATGGCGAGGTGCACGCCCTCCATTCAGTACTCGGGCGCAGTGGGGCGTTGGCAGGCCTCACCCCACAACGAACGGAGGGGTTAGCCTGCTTCCAGGCAGCATGCGAGGGCGCTCTCCCAAGAAGCGCCCGGGAGACTACCAAGTGGATCTTTTCCGACACGCCCGCGAGTGTGGAGGGCTGTCGGCGCTGCTTTCCTAATCTTGTTGGTGTGGCGGAAGATCCGTTGCACCTAGTCTTCCGTGTGGAAGCATGCTTCGGGGAGCGTCGGACCGCGCTGTCGCGGGACGTGTTGCGGCTTCAGAAGAAATTTGCTGCCCCCGAGCTCGGCCCCATCTACAATGGTGGGCCCCCCGAGCCAGGCCAAGAAGGACCTTTGCACAAAGTACTTAATGTATAAGTGTTCCGGGAAGCTGCTTCTCCCAGCTGTAGAACCTTGCATGCTTTCCAGGACGATGGTGTGGACAACGCAAGCGGGCCCGGGCTCTTGAACGTGACTGGGAGTGTTACTGCGCTCAGCCATATCAGCGACACCAGGATTATGTGGATGACATCTTAGACATCTGCTTGACGTACCCGAGCGACATGTCTCGCAAGGACTCCCGTGGGAAGACAACAAAGCAAATTCTGATTGCCGGCGCCTCCTTCCAGCACTTTGCGTATTTGCTGAATGGATCCCGGGCCAGAGCGAGCCTGTCTGACTCCGACAGAAAGCTGCTGTCCATGGGCACCGCCGCGAACGAAGCCCTTCATCAGCAGTTCAATGCGACACAACGGCCTGTCATACAGCAGCATCGAGAGAGCGTCGATGTGGTCCTGTTTTCCTTCACGTTAGCGAAGCTCCTGGCGCATCAAAGTGCAGCTTACTGGCCTACCGTATCCCAGCGCTCCCAGTCCCTCCTGTTGTCCATGATCACTGGCCACTTGCGCAGAGAGTTCTGCCCGGCTTTTGCGAAGAATCCGGTCGCTGTGGTCAGGAACCGTCGCCTTGCCCGAGCTCCTGTTCACCGGCAGAATCCTGCCGCTGCACGCGCGGCTGCTGACAGAGCTGCGGGTCAGTCCGAGCGATGGGCCACGCACGTGGCAGCCCGCAAAGTGAGACGACGATGGATCCTGAAGCGGACGGTTTTCACCAAGAAGAAGCAGAAGAGGCAGCGGCGAGGTAGCGGAAAATCACCGGTACCGATGCCGCAGGGCTAGTGGCAAGACGAGCATTCGTGAGGAAAGAGGATGCAATGTCCGAGTGCCGTTGTAGACATGGTGCACGATTCGAGTATGTCGAAACAGACTTGCTTGCCTGACATGCTGTGTTGACTGACGTGTACTTTTCCTGGCGATGGCTCGAAAGACCAAATAAAAGAGTTCTGGTCTTCCTCTCTGAACGCAGCACGTATCTCGGGTAGTGCAACTGTGACTGCCGCCGCCACCATCGCAGCCGCCATCGCCACCACCTCCCACCTCACTGCCTCGGCCACCACGACGACGACGACGACGACGACTACTACTGCTACTGCTGCTGCTGCTTCTACTGCTGCTGCTGCTGCTGCTACTACTACTACTACGACGACGACGACGACGATGACGACGACCACGAGGACGACGAGGACGAGGA